GTTTTATAGATATTTTCCCATTGAGGAGATAAGCTCAGTAATATTAAATAAATTACTTAGTGTACCAGAGCGATAGAGTCACAGTTTTAGCATCCTGTCTCAGGATGCGTCAGTCCCACATTCTTTCTGTTGATCACACTGCCTTCTGTTCCACAATTATGCAAGTGAATAACTTGCTTATTAATTTCTCCCAATGTATAGATTTTTGCAGCACATTTGTGCATTCATTTGTTCCTCAAGAAATTTGGGACAGCTTACAAAAATATATGTTTAACAAAACCCTAAAAGTCAATGTTCTTATGATTTTCAAAATGATTTAATAACTAAGAAAGAGTGAAAATTAGATTTTTAAGTAAGACATGTTTATCCTGAAATGACAGAATTTGTTAGGTCAGATTATTAAGATTATTGCCCAGCACTTAACTTACAACATAGATTAGAGAAGGCAGTAATAGGTCTAAGAAACAGAAGGTTTTGTGAGGCTGAAGAAGGTATGTGTGGGAGATCAGAGTACAGAATCAAGAATATTTAAGTGATCAGTGGTCTTTGAAATGCCACGCAGCTAATAACACAGTGTCTTTTAGTTATGGTCTCTGGAAAACACATGGCTGAGCTCAAACTGTGGGCCAAACTCTGCTCCCTAGGGTGTGGCTTCCTTTCAGCCTTTGCCATTCATACCAGGTATTCACCTGTTTCTGGGTCCATATGTTAATTATCACGACTAGAGTCAGAGGTGGTTTAGTGTGCCATGTAACAAGCTGGTATCACTTAGAGTGTCCAAGAGATTCTGTAAGCTTCTCTTTGAGACTGACACTGTGTCAGAATAGAGGAAGAAATCATTGAAGAAGCTAAACCCCACTCCTGGCGTTATGATTTATTCTGTTGAAATCACGTTTCTGACCTCTTTCTCCAATGATAATAATTGATAGATATTTGTGCTTACCAAGCACTACCACACCTAAAGTATGTGATCACTTTTCCCCTTCAAAATATAAGAAATTGAGCCTATAATGATTAGAAAGTTACTCCAAACTAGCAAGTCAGTAGGCTATGGAGTTGCAAGTCAACTATAGAAGTTCTAACTCCCTGTTTATCACACTTTTCAATTCACATTTTTCCCCCAGGCAAGGATAAAATGCTTTCGGGAATATGACAGCTATATGTAAAATGGGATAATATCCTACGTAAGTAAGACAGAAATCTAGAGAGGGGTAGTTTTGAAATAAAGGAAGATCTCTGCTTTAATATCCTCACCTGTCTACACTTGGCCTTATTTTATTTCATTTATTTCTTAGAATTTCTTCCTTTCTGCCTTAGTTTCATTTCTTCTGTATAGTCCTGTTGAGAAAAATAAGGGAGGAAATGTGAGAATTAGAGGGAAACCAGGCAAAGTTGCAGGCAGCCAAACTACCAGTCTTGGAAGAAAAGAAACAAGAGAAACTTACTTTTAAAATAGATTTTTCTAAAAGCTAAAGGAGCTGTTAAGGTTGGGTTAATGAAGATTATGCTGCCATAACAACCCCAATATTACAGTGGCTTACAGAAATGTCTAAGTCTTTCATGGAATGTAGCCTGCAAGTCAGAGGAGGTGAGGCAGCTCCCCTTCCTACGGTGCCCTCGTTTCCAGGGTGCTTTCAATTGTGGACACCTGTGTTTCTACATGTGGTTTCTGAATCATGGCAACAGAGAGAGCAGGCTAGAGAGTTCAGCACTGGTCACCTCAGACATCACCTCTAATTATATTTCATTGTCCCAATTAAGCCACACCTCATCTCTAGTGGCAGGGAAATTACAATCTGTGGCTGGAAGTAAAAGAGAAATCGGCTCCTGGTAAGTCCTAGCTTTGCCTCTTGTAGTAGCTTCCACAGAAAAACATCAGTTACCACTGAGGAAAAACCGTGATGTTTCTATCAGGAGGTTGCCTGTCCGTTGGTTATAGTGTTGAATCCAGAAGTGGCTTAGAAAAAGAGTATTGCCTTCACCTCTGTTTTCTGTTATTGTGTTTATCAATGTTTATTGTACCTGGGTTCTTAAAAACTTTGTGAATACAGTAAGAGAAGAATAAGCATCTCACACACACGCATATTTCTCTACTCTTCATTATGGAAACGAGATGACTACATTTCTTTTATCTTTCTATTTTTGAGATTTGTCAGGACATTTTTGTAACCTAGAACATTAGGTTTCCTATCATGATAATAACAATCAAATACAGCAATGCACCCCCTAAATGATGGCGTTCCCATAAAATTATAATGCTGTATTTTTATTGCACTTTTCTGTGTCCAGATATGTTTAGATGCATGGGTGCTTCCTGTAGTATGCAGACAGTGACATGCGATATAGATGTGTAGCCGAGGAGCAACAAGCTTTCCATGTGACTGTGTGTGTGATAAGTTGAACCACGTGGGTTTTTGTAAGCACACGTGTGATGTGCATGGACAGTGATGAAATCGCCTCATGGTGTACGTCTCATGACACAGCCCTGTCATCATGGGATACGTAGCAGTGGTTAAGAGATGCTTACAAAGCAAAGAAGGACAAAAATAATTTATCTTATGGCCTTATGCTTAAAGATGAAATATGGATTTAATTTTAGTTGAATGACTTTGCATCTTTTGATTTCACCTGGGCGTTATTTTGTATGACAAGATCTTGCGAGAAAAAGAATTTCTCTTTCTAATTTGGACTCTAATGGCCTCATTTTCCTGTAGTTCACTTTAGTCTGTGTTCAGCAAGAAGCCCTTCCCGTGTCTCGGGTCTTGTACAGTAAGTCATGCCACTGAGCAGACTTGCACAGTAACCGACTCTGTATTATAGACATTATTACCTGCCTAAGTACCCAGGAGCAGGTGTTAAAATTGGAAGCTGTGGAGTGATCTTTTTTTGAGAGGAAATAAGAAGTTACCATTAGCAGACTCCTCAGATAGGGTAGGGATTAGGTTTTAGAGGCTTACTTTTAAAATTTTTATTTTATTTTATTTTTTTTGCTGAGACTCACACCAAGATAGTGAAATAGCGTAGCCTGACTAAACCGCACCACTCTCAGGATTTCTAGAAATCTCTTCCTCATTGGTTTTTCTTCCAGATACCATCATTCTTCATTAGCAGCCTTCAATTTCTAATTTTTAAAATATATTTCTTGATATCCGGATGCCTAATATAACCGATTTCTAAGGCATGTCTGCTTTTGGATTAACCTTTATGTAGGGATGTGAGGCCTTCTCCTTATCTCCACCGTGCCACCTGATAAACTCTTGGTACCCCACGTTGTTGTAACTATAAACTTGGTAGAATTGCCTCCCCATATACATATTCTGTCTTATCTTTTTCTTTAATGTGAACCGTAATGATTGTGGAATCTTGTGGACACAAGCATAAGTTAGGGAGAAATGAGTCAGGGGAAGAAGTTCTATGCTTAAAAAGGAGAATTGAAAATAAATTTCTCATAGAGAATAATCAGAGCAGATGAATGTGTGAGAACATGGACACCTCTTAGGAAAAATAGCATTTCATCAAGCTGATCTAAATTTTCTTTGATCTAAGGCTATCCTGATGATCTCCTGCATGTTTACCATCTACCACACCAGATCCAGCTTTTATTTTGCAAAATTTTTAGATGTTTAATATTGTTTTTTAAAGTTAATTTTTTAGTGATTTTTAAGTATATTTCATACTATTGCTTATTGACATTGCAATAATAGTTAATGTATATTATAAACATAAACATATAGTTAGTAATATTTAAATTTTTCATGTTCTTTATATTACCTTTATCCTTGGATTAGTTTCTTTATGAAGTTTTTATTTATATAAATTTGTTTACCAGAATGTGCCTTTCTCTGGTTCTCAGTATTGTTCAGTGATGTACTACCGTTCCTATAAATAGATATTACATGATTTTAGCGTCACCATCAGCTGATTTGTGACAAAGAATAACTTAGAATTATTTTGATTTGTTTAAACTGCCTAATCCCAGATAATTTAATCAAATACAGTTTAAAATTCATCTTATAAATAAAGTCATGGTACAACCAAGGAAAATTTCCATCCCACTTTTATATGAAATCCAGTCTTACTTATTTCTGTTGTATCCTTTCTCTCATTTACTCTTTACTCGGGATTCACATATTCCCAATGGGATCTCTGTTATTAACAAATATTTCTTGCACGGTAATATCACTAGAAATAAATCATAAAAAGGATATACTGAGGTTCTTTTGACAAAGTCATTGACGATTTTTTCTGATCTAATTAAAGTACATCAGAGGCATAACATAGAAATCAGTTGACTCAGGAACTGCTGTCAAAAGCTGAATTGGAAGACTCTCCTTAACACTGTTTGTGCGACCATAGCTATCTGCATTTGTGCTGCCAAGAAGGTCCTCCCATTCCCTAGATTCCCATCACTGAAGCCTCGGTAACTGAAACATCTGAACATATTCCAGAGAAAATGGCACCCACTTTCTTCTCCATTTTTTGCTTTTTTTCCATTTCAGGGACCTGACAACTGTACAAAGTGTTCTCATTTTAAGGATGGCCCAAACTGTGTGGAAAAATGTCCAGATGGCTTACAGGGGGCAAACAGTTTCATTTTCAAGTACGCCGATCAGGATCGAGAGTGCCACCCGTGCCATCCAAACTGCACCCAGGGGTAAGCATCCTTGCTGGGCAGGGACTCAGCCTTGTGTGTGGTGTTAGCCAGAAGATACACAGGTGTGTCTTTATCTCTGACACTGTCTCCTGAATGAGGACCATTCGCATACAACTCCATTTGTCTTTATATTTAATATGTTGTTTTTAAAAGAAATCCTCGGAGAATGAGTTCAGGAATCAGATTTGTACCCTCCGATACACATCTGCTTAACATTTGTGTCTCCCACTGCCTTGACACCTTCATGAGGGTGGTGACATGCAGCATAGAACATCTTCCAAATTGTAATGGAAATTCAGGATACCAGAAAAGACAAAGCAGTCGTCATACTTTAGATATTCGTGTTTATTAAATCCTCCATAGAGGTGTTTTATTTCTGTTTCTTTGTTGTCACAATCAGCTTCAAGTGAGGATATCTCTCTGTGGCAGATTCTACCTTCAATGAGTCCTTCAAGAAAACAAAGAATGAAGGGAGAGCTGGCGGAAATAAAAGGGGCACTAGAGATAGGTACATTAATAACTATTTGTATTAACCTGGAGGGAGCTGGAACACGTTCTTCTTAGTAAAATATCACAATGGAGAAGCGAGATTCCAATGGACTTAACTCTAATACTATCTAATACACACCCACATAAGAGAAAAATTAAAATCAAGTGAAGGTGGGGGTGAGGAAGGGGATGCGTGTGCTCCCACTTAATGATCTCAATTTTAGGGTGTATGACACACCTCTTGGGGACTGGACACAGTTACAAGAGGGACTCTACCTAACAAATGCAAGCACTATAAGCTATTTTTTTGTATCTTCGATTAACCTGAAACAATAAAAAAAGGAAGAAAAATATTTCGTAAAGTTTGAAAATTTGCAAACACCTCACTGCCCCTTTCCCATACCTCTTTCACGTATGATGGGTATGGTAAGATCAACGAAACAATCAATACTTAATAAAGCAGAACCTTAATTTAAAAAATTAATAAAATAAAATAACTAGTATATTTTGCAATAGTGACTTTGTCACAGGTTACCTGATAGCCTGGAATTTCTGTGACTGATATAAGATAGTTCAAAGATGGGTAAATACTTTACTGTTTTCAAAGGAATACTCTGTGCAAAGCATAATAATTAGACTAAGCATGATATCGACAGTATTCACATAATGACACGTTCCAGAAAGAAGAAAAACACTGAATTGTAAAAGAAACGTTAGAAAACTAATAACTTCCAACAACTCTTTCTTAAAAGATAAAAAGAAAATCGGTTTCAGTAAGGATTTTTCTTTTTCTTCCCTCCAGAAAGTGTATAATTTTAGGACTGAGAGCAGTTTCACTTAGTCTGCCTTCTTCCTGTCCATAAAACCTCTTCTCCATCGTGAGTGCCCGCAGGCATGTGCGCGTAGACGCACAGGCACACACACTCCTTGTTGAGGATCATCTTGGGTACTTTATATCTGGCAGGAAAGTATAAGATTCCATAAAGAGATTTTCTGCCATATTAAGGGCCGACTGTTAGGGGATATTGAATAAGTTAAGCCAGCAACATCATTTCCTGCCAAGAAAACATCAATTTGCAGATGCTGCTACCATTTCCTGCAGGTCAAAAGATCGGCTTAAGTCACTCTGTGAAGTGGCAGATCCTCAAAAGGTGAAGTAATGCTCTGCCATTCAAATTGCGATTCAGCTTGGAAGCGCCAACAGCCAATTCATTGGTTTACACATAAGCGCATAGGTTGAGGATACTAAAATAGTCACATGGATACTTTGCTTCAAGGAAACTAGAAGTAATAAACTGCTCCCCTTGTGAGTTTTTGGCACACTCGAGTTGAGAGTATTCTATGAAAAAAAAAAAACAACTGGTACTGCTGAGCAGAAGAGAGAGGCAGCCACGGAAAGAGAAAACTTTGCCTGCTAAAATCATCCACAAGAGGATTTTATTGTTTTGCAGTTAAAATTAAACCAGTAAATTATTCAATATAATGTTGATATCAACATCTGTTGCCATTCAAAATGAGACCTTTTTCTGTTTTTGCAAATCTAATTACAACGAAGTCATCAGGGAAATGAAAGTGAGATCGCAGAGCCACAGTCTGGATGTGTGGCTGGTGTGTCTTCCTCTCAGGCCTTTTCAATCTTGATTATATGATTTAAAAAAAACATACATGATGGGGAGAAGTAATACCAGGAAGCAACGAAGGCAGATCCATTTACCAAAGCCGCAAAATCTGGATTTCAGTTAAAAGGGAGGATGAAGGTTTAATAAGGAACAAATCTCATCAGACCATTTGGAAACTTCGAGTAAATAAAAAAAAAAAAAAGGTGATTTTAGCAACTTACGGCTGCAGAATTATGGTGAGAAAGAATTTGAATATGAACCCCCCTCCCCCAGTATTTTCCCAGGGTAAATGTATTTATTCTCTGACGACTGACTTGATTCCTAAGGATTTGCTTTTATTTAGCCTTCTGCTGTCCTTTCTCTAATAGCTTCCTTATCATCAGGTTCACTCATTTCATTAAAGTTACTTTCCAGTAGTGAAATTCCTAAATTGTAAATCCACATATACATTTTATTGCTGTGGGACCATTGTGCTTTGAGATGCATTACTAAAGTGATGAGGGATGACTGATGCAGTCAGTCCCATCTTTACAAATTGTGCATGTAGAGATACGTATCAGAGGGGCAGTGAGAATAATGGGTTGAGTAACCATTTTTATTCCTTTGTTTTTTCCCCCCCGAGACAGAGTTTCACTCTGTTACCCAGGCTGGAGTGCCGTTGTATCATTTGGACAGAAGTGATCCTCCTGCCTAAGCCTCCTGAATAGCTGGAGGTTATTCTACAGGCACCTGCCACAATGCCTCGATAATTTTTCTGTTTTTAGCAGAGATGAGGTCTTACTCTTGCTCAGGCTGGTCTTGAATTCCTGGGCTCACATAATCCACCTGCCTTGGCCTCCCACAGTGCTAGGATTACTGGTGCGAGCCACTGGGCCAGCTGACTAATTTTATTTTCAAACACATATTAATAACTGACCTATCAGTATGTCCGAGTTCACCAGGCCAGCTGCACTTTGGAAAAAAAAAAATGCACTTTTCTTAACATGCCAATATTATGTCAGATACTTCAAGAACCAAGTTAATGGAAATAGTCTTACAAGTCACATTATTTTTAGAAATAATGTTCTTACTTTGAATACTCTTTAATGATTTTCTGAAAATAAAATTATCTATATAATACCTTAAAAACGGTGCTTTTACTACTCTAAAAGTACATTGAACGTACTGGCTCTAACAGGTTCCTCAGTTACATTTAGAATAGATTATCCATTCAGGCCCTATCAGAAGATTCTCACTAATATCCCTGGAGGAAAAAACAATAACAACCTCGCCTCTTCTTGTCTTGACTTAGACGACTCTTATTTTAGCAGCTCTTTCTCCTTGCGTTCATTCTTCAACTTTGCTGAACTGGATACCTGCTCGGCACCCACTACAGGGACAGGAGAAGACGTGAGCAAGAGGCCCAACTTCTGAAAACTCACAGTCCAGGGAATCTACATTCTTTCATTTATATCCTCTATTAGACGCCAGACCCTTCTCCATAGCATTTTGAACTGATGAACAAGAATTAAACATTGGGGAATTATGTTAATATTTGAAATTTCCAAGCTAGAAATTTTAAAGGAAGACTTGTCCACTAAACTTAGCCTATAATTACGTGCTGGTGAGGGTAAGATTTATAGTTCCCTCACCTACATAATTTGATTCCATGCTAATTTAATGTTAATTTAATTTTGGTTTTGTTTCAACCGAACATACACTTTAGACTTAGATTGGAAAGTTTATCTCATGGGTAATCTTTTTAAAAAACTCATTACATGTTCTTGTTAATACCAGAATCATAATTTCATATTCTTAAATTTCACATCTGCCTATCAGTCCTTTTACATTTAGAGAGTGAACACATTTCCACTGATGGCAAGAAAAGGACTGCTTATGGATATACCAAGTTTATAATCTTTAAACTGAAAATTTTAAACATTTTCTCTATTTCCATTTAAAATTTTTATCCAAATATTTAATTATGTTGATTGTATGGGAACGTCCAAGTACTTATAAGTTACACACCAACAAATATTAAATACACTTCAAGATTCACAACTCCAGAAATTGTTTTGGAGGGTGTTAATTAGCTATATGATGGTTTGTTTTACTGATCTTTCTGTGAGTATACTTTGGAACACCAATTTTTTGAGAATTGTGTTATTCCACATCTAGATTGAATTGCTTATTTTTGCTTTTGACCTCTTAAAAGTTTAATGTTTCTCTTATTCTATGATTTTGCTGAATGGATGTAAACCACACATGCTAATTATCGGTTATCTAAAGCACAAAGGGTTGAAGTGTAATGGACATCATTAGGTACACGTGACTTGTATTTAGAGAGAAAAAGGGGCCACTTCAGTCAATCTCTCATTCTTATTCTTTCATTGGTTCCATTCTCAGTTTAAAAACATGTTTAAAATTCAAATAACCTGCACAAGCCTCTCAACAACGTTTCTTGGCCCTACATCCTCTCCCCCAATCTCTCCTCTCCATTTCCTGTTGCCTCTATTTTCCTATCTCCAATTTCCTTCTCAACTCACAGAAACCTAAATCCCAGGACCATGGCACATGACAAGTAAAATTATCTCGGGAATTCTTATTACACTTCTCTGCATTTCACACTGATTATCACTCCCTTTTTCTTGAACTGCTTTTCTGATTTGGCTTCCGTGACACTGGAGTTAATTGGTTTTACTCAATTATGTTTTCCTGTGCTTCTGTTAGTAGTGCGAGGAGCCTGACCTGTCTCCCATGTTACTGGAGTTTCTGGATTCCAATCTTCTGCCTGTCCTTTTCTCACTCATCTTGTTCTGTCACATACACACTTCAACTTTCCCCTACACAGTATTTCAAACCTGATGGTTGTACTCGTGTCTTCTTTCCTTCATTAGTGACAGATTCCTCTTCCCGACTGCTGAGAGACATTTCTACTGTACATAGGACAGCCCCACTCACTCTAGAATCACACACATGGAATTATCCACTCCTGCCCTAATGCATGCACAAAGAAACATTTTCTTCCTCTTCAGTTCTCTCAGAAATGGTACCACTATTCCCAAAGCTAGGGATGTAAATTGTTCTTAACTTGGATCCATGTCTTTCATTAAAATCGGCCAATTTAATGTTTTTTGCACCCACACCTTTTGAGGAGTTTCTTGGACTCCTCACCTTTGCCACCTTCCCAGTTACCATTTCCCTCGGTTAGACCATAATCTCTTAGGTAGATACAAATAGTGTTTGTGGCTGTAGAAGTCTACCTAGCTCCCGGCTGACTGGCGTCCACAGGGCATTTAGAATACAAATCTAGCAATCTCACTCTTTCCTTAAAACCCTACAGTGATTTTATATCGGCTGATACTAAGCCAATGGTTATCAAAATCTGCCTTCCACCTACTGCTCTCGTTCCTTTTTTCCCTCTCCATGTCATCTCATATTTTGTTCTACAACTATGAAGAATTATTAATAGTTGTTTGTATACATTATACACTTTGTCCGGTCTGTGTCTTTGCTCCTGCTGTTTCTTACCCCTCAGAACTTCCCACCACTCCAACTGCAGCTCTCAGCCTCTTACATTCTTCAGGACCATGACCTTCTGGGACTGGACTTGGTGTCCCTCCACCACACTCCCCTAAAACATGTTTTCATGCCTCTTATTAATTTATCACATTATGCAATACATATCTGTTTGTGCATCTGTCTCCTTCATTAAATTCTGAATTCATTGAAAATTAGAAAAGCGTCTAATTCATCTTTTTTTCTCCCTCCAGCTCCTAGAACAGTAAGAACGGTTAGCAGGCGTGTATGTAACACAGTTTTGTTTTGTTTTTTAATGGATGAGAATATTTTCATTATTTACACTTTCCCCTCAAGTTGAAATTTAATTTTGAATATTTTTTATCTTTCAAGGGTTATTATAAAGACAGATTGCAAACAAACTACAGCTTTTTAGATTCTTCCTTGGAAATAAAAAGTATACTATTAATTTTATAAAATGACAATACTGTATAAAAAAGCATTTTGAAGAAGATATAATAGGAAAAATACGTTCTTCAGAACAGAATAAAAAGAAGACTACGTAAGACAATTCAGAAACTTTTAATAGTTGATTTTCCATTTTTAGAAATGGTTTTGATTATGGACTTTGCATAATATCAAGTCAATGTTTCATATTCTCAGTATTTCCCATTTCCTTGTTTTTCCCCAAGACTTTGATCACAGGTGTATTTCCAGTATTTTTGTAGGTTAAAATTTGTCTATGCTGCTCAAGACAAATCCTCCAAACAAAAATAAGTGAATCTTCTCGTTGGTAGGAATATTCTAACTGATCTGGATGAAGTAGAGAGATAGTGACTAATTGTTATTATAGGCAAGTTGTATTAGTTCACCAATGTTTAGACTTACCTAAAAATATAATGGACATTCTAGCCTTATATATGAGCACCTTTTTACCTTATGTAATGATCTTAACTTCAGCTCCTGTTTTGGTTTTGAAAATTAAGAGTTTGGAGAAAATATATAATCTTTATTAGTAGCCAAATTAGGCAGTTCTTGAAATAATAGCTATAGAAGGAATCTCTCTAATGCCCTGGAGCTATATCTATCTTTGATGGGAGAAAAGGCAAAGAAAAAATTCAAGTACATTGGAAGATGAAAGCAATAATACTTCTATATAATTCAAAATGAAATTCTTGGGACTGAACATTAGAATTCTGTGTACTTACATAATTCCATTTAAAGGTTAATCTCACTGTATTCTTTAGTTACCTGAGTCTCAATTTATTCATTTCCTTTAAGAGTATTTATTTATTTATTATCATTTAAGTTCATTATTATGGCAGGTTAAAACCTTGTTTTTGTTTGCATGTTACAGCACTACTATTTTAAAAGAGAGCATCAAGGTAAACGCAGCCTGGTGAAGCCAGTTAATTTACTTTTAAAATAAATTCATGTTTAAAGATAAGTATATCTTAAGGAAAGGCAAAACCAAGGACCAGAATAATGTGATTATATAAAGTCTCTATGAAAATAGCATTAAAGTACGTTAATTCATTTTCTGCCAAAATAAATCTTTAATGAGCTTTAAGCATCAGGTTATTATATTAGACTGAATTGCTCCTATTTCCTTTTTTATTGATTTTGTTTTTTACTTGAATGTAAGGCCTTTTGGGAGAAACCATATACATGAGAACAATTATAGTTATTAAAATATCAAGTTATTCATCAAGGCATATAATCATGAATGATGCAAATGAATTGCAAGTATTCTAAGGGAGCTGTGTGTGTTTGGAAGTTATCCACAGAACCAGGGTAAAATTTCCTCCGCTGTGGACGTGTTTCTTTGCATTTCACTTGGGTGTTAATTGCAATTCATTTCTGTGTATCCATCAAGCAATAATCTTCTTGCTGGCTTAAAATTCATGGTGTTCCAAAAATTGTCTAATAATTATCATTTGACACAGTTGGTATTTATTTTTACTGATTTTTTTTTAAGTGACTAATTTTTCCTTCCTTGTATTTTTTTTTAAATTTACATCTTCTGCAGGTGCATAGGCTCAAGTATTGAAGACTGCATCGGCCTGATGGATAGGTACTTGGTGTGCTTGCTTCCCATGTCCTTCCTCCGAGGCTCCATGTGTGAGCACTGGTGCATGTGTGTGCATGTCACTGTGGATGGAGAATGATGTTTTCTGTTCTGTAATTGCCTGCAGGTGTAACGGTCCCACTAGTCATGACTGCATTTACTACCCATGGACGGGCCATTCCACTTTACCACAACATGCTAGGTAACATCTACCATGTTTCCATTTTGTCACTCAAATCCTTTCACAGTTATCATGGATAAAATGTACTAACCAGTTGGGTTAAATGTGTAATACAGGGTGTCCATAAAATTCCTGTGCAGTTTACGAAGTTAAATTTTTTTTTAATTGCATGTGAACTTTATGTCCACCCTGCATAGTAAGTTAGAAGTTTTGAAAGAAAAGAAAACATTTGTCTTTTCAAGACGCCTTTCTTACTTATCTGTCCTTCATTCATTATGATTTCACAGCCCTAATTAGTGATGCCATTGATTTTTAGTTTCATATAATGTACACGGGATTTTGAATTATTAATGTGGAGCTCAAAATGTTTTGGTTCTTAATTCCCCAGATGATTGCAAAGAGAAGTATTTTTAAGGGTGGAATTTACAGAAGTTGATCTGTGTTTGAAAATGTTTAGTATTTGATTCAGTTTCCAATTTTATAGTATTTCAAACTGGTTGGTATATTCCCTAACTGGTTGGTATATTTCCTAAGTGGTAACATGAGTTACCATAGGCTAAAGGCAATATAGAAAATATTTTGTGCAGGTAAAGGTGTAACTTGGTATTAAATATAAAATATATTACTTGTTTTTGCACAAAACCTCTGCGCTACTGTTTATAGTGGCTTTGATCATAATCACCAGAAGCTAGAAAGCACTGAAATGTCCTTCCATGGTGGCATCTAAATGCATTGTTACGCTACTGAGCAATGAAAAAGAACAAGCTGCTCATGTTGCTCATGTACCAGCAACGTAGATGGATCTTAAATATATTGCCCTAAATGAAAGAAGCCAGATGCAATGGACTATCTACTCTACCATTCTATTCATATAGCATTCTGAAAAGGCAGAACTATAGAGTCTAAAAAATCCGTGTTGCCAGAGGCTGGAGGTTGGGGGATGAATTTGGCTACAGAAGGGCAAGAGAGATTTAGAAGGACTCATGAAATGATTCTGTCTTGATTGTCAGAGGCTGCACAAATGCACGTCCTTATCAAAAATTATAAAAGTATACGTGTTACTGTGTATAAATGACAACCTAATATTATGGGTTGAGGGTGAGTGAAGGGCACACTTACAGCATTGACTTAAATGTAAAAATGCAAATTGTATAAATAAAATGCGTATATCCCTGTAATACTCTGAAATAAATAATGTAAAAATTATACCTCAATAAACCTGACTTTTCAAACATCTTCTAAAACATTTCCTACATAGCAAAGTAACTTTAAAATGTAATGTGAAATATCATTAACTTTCCTTGTGAAACATACAGTTGCATTCTTTTGGAAGAGAGAAAGTAGTGTTAAGTATAATTACCAAAATGAGAATTTGGATGAAGTATTGCCTTCTGAAGTAAGCTTTTGTATTAAAATATACATAGTGTAAAGGTACCCAAAACATAATTGTGTAAAGCTTAGTGAATTTCCCAGAATGAAACATTTGTGTAACCATTAGCCAGATCAAGAAACAAAATGTTAACAGAAGAGCAAAAGCCTCACTGTATGCCCTTCCAATGAGAATTACTGTCCTAAATGTTAACACCAAAGACAGGTTGCCTGGCGTTTAAGTTTACATAAATTTAGTCATATGCCATGAGCTCTGGAGGCTCGTGCCTGTAATCCCAGCACTTTGGAAGGCCAAGGTGGGAAAATGATGAAGGCCAGGAATTTGAGACAAGCCTGGACAACATAGTAAGACCCCATCTCTACATAAACTAAAAAGGAAAAAAAAATTAGTTAGACATGGTGTTGCCTCCTGTAGTCCCAGATACTCAGGAGTTTGAGGTTGGAGGATCACTTGAGCCTAGGAGTTCAAGGTGATTGCCATTGCACTTCAACCTGGGCAACATTGCAAGACTCTGTCTCTAAATTAAAAACTAATAATAATTCAAACAATAAGTCATAAAGTTTCTATTCTGTGCACCTGGCTTCTTTTGCTAAATATATTTATGAGATTCACCTATGTCACTGAATGTAGACTTAATTTCTTAATTCGTATTTTATTGTATTTAAATGTTTTTCAATAGTCATATAAGTGATATTCCATCTTAATAAAATGTTTTTAATGAAATAGATAACTAAATTAATAAAGTATTTTTAATGAAAAAAATAGAGAAACTAAATTATAAAAGAAGTAAAAGAAGTATGTGCTAGATTTAATGGATTTATACAGCAGTGGCACTTTGACACTGGGTGAAATCAAGACAAGCTAATGTAGTTGTTTAGAGTAAGGTTAAAATTGTGAAAAAATGAGAGGTGGTGGAGAGAGAATGAATGAGAAAGTTCAAGGCCTAAAGTGCGATTTTATAAGCCAAGATTCATATTGGGCTGTTCCTATATTTGTGAAATACTTTTCCCCTTAAGATCTTAGTCAAGTCACTACACTATCACTTTGAAGAAGATTTTTCATGTTTGTTTTAATAATTTTCTTATAATCATTCCAATGGACTAGTTAGAATAGTATGGTGAAGTGTGCTGTCTTTGGAATCAGATTTTCTGAGTTCAAAGCCAGGCTGTCATGTTTTGAAATGAGACCGTGGGTAAATTTATTTATTAAGTTCACCTTCTTTGTGTATAAAATGGGAATATAACTGTATTCATAAATTGATTGTAAAGATGGAAGATGTCCTTAGAAGAGCGTTTGGTTCATAGAACAGTGTTTCGCTCATAGAATAATAATGTTATTATTTATTCTCTATGTGTCAAGAATTCTCAAACCTTGGGACTGGGAGAACATGTCTCTCAGAGAGAGGAGACAAGTCTCTGTGGTCATCCAGCGAGCTTTCCTATGTACCTCCAGGCCTCTTGATGAGCTCCTTAAAGAAAGAGAGGGAAATTCTCTCGCTTTACCTTGAGACTCTCAATCATAACGAGGGGCATTGGTACTGATGGCTGTAAATCATCGGCTGGTATTTAGAGACAGAGAAAAGTTTAAAATGATGAAGACAGATCACTCGTGGTTTTTAATGTTTCTAACTGAGATTATATGATGCAAAATCATAGTGTATCTTATTATTGAATTAATATTTTCAACATTTATACAAAAGCATTATTGTAATTTTCAATCTTTCATACCTTCTAGTACTCTGACTAAACTGCCTAATTCAGATTAGCCTTGTCATAAATAGGTGACCATCACCTGCTATTGTTTATAGATAATATAGTCATTATTAGATTGTCATTCCCTAGAAACACTGCCTGTAGCCCATCGTACAGAGCAAGTGTTCGTGACTGTGAATGCCTGAGTTTAAATATTGGTTCTACCATGTTTCTTATCTGTAAAATGGACATGATAATCATAATGTTTACACTGAGAATTCTTATGCCTCGTAAGACTGGTATGGGAGTGAAATGAGAACATTCCCATGAGCCATCCTGTATATGTTTGTGGATAGTAGATATTACTCTCATTGAAATATTGGCATAGTCATCTCTGAAATACTCATGAAAGTAGAAATTTACATATTAGCAGAGAATAAATACAGTAAGTCATCCTTATGGAACTGAGATACCAAAATTTCTGAGGGTTTAAGCATTTGAATTTTGTATCCTTCTGAGCACAATGATTTCAAAGAAAATTGGTAGCAGATAGCCTATCGTTGCTTTCAGAGAACTATTGGGATCTTTAACACATGTTTTGAACTTAAATATAAAGCAACATGATTCTATTTTTCAATCGTACTGACTTGTCAGAATTAATTGACTTGTCAGAGGTGTTTATAAGGCAATTTGAAGTTTACATGAAGGATAGGATTTAGCCTGGATGTTTTAGAAAAGTGTTTATATCCATGGAACATTTTGACACAAAGTGGGTGAGAAGGGCGGGTAACAAGTACCTCTTTTTCTTGGTCCTTAATATTGTGGTAAATGCTTACCTCTCTCGGAGGGGATGGCTGTACGTTTCACTGAAAACTCCCTTTAAATTTCACCATATAACGCTCTGCCAATAGATTAAAGTGAATTTTACATAATGAGAGGACAAAAACACAATTGAAAATAATTGATTTGAGTTTCATATACCATATTTCCACTAGAAGATGATCCAAATGCCTCATTCTCTTTTAGTCACAGAAAATTGCTAGAGCAAGTCAATGTGGCCATTTAAAAATATGTGGAGTTCCTACTCCCTACTGCCCCATTACGCTGTATTCTGTCTCCTAAACCAGCAGGAAAAAAGATGGAAGATTTAAATGAAAACAGGTGAAATGTTTCCAATCTTGATCGACTTTCATTTTCTAAGCAATGTTATTCTTTCCCAAGCCTGTGATTTGTGAATTGGTTTTCCACACTCCATTTACCTTACAGGCTGCTGCTGGAATTTCTTCCAGAAAGATTGGATAGGATAGAATAGAATTTTTTTTTTTTTTTTTACCTTTAGTTCCCTGGCTATGTTATTGCTAATGAAACAATACTTGATATTTTAGAACCTCTCCCTACTTTTCTTATCTGAATTAAATGCCTTAAAAATAATGCTTTTGATAGTTTCTCTTTCCGTCAAAAATTCTATGAGAATATGTTCAGAAGGATTTGTCTTATTCTTTGTACATTATTTATTCTAGCTTGCACATATTGTTTTCATATAGGAAATGTTAGGATTCTTTTCTGTTTTAGATTATTTGTCAGAAATATATCTGAAGTTTTTTTCGATCCTAAACTGTTATTTTTAAAGAGCCTAAATATGCTAATCTCAATAAATAAAGGCTCTATTGGCAAATCATTTATGTTAGTTAGCTGTACAAAATGTAAAATGACTAGCAGTTCTTTTTAAGTTTGGGAGAGAAATTATGAAAACTAGTAGCTATCTGATCAAGTGTTTTGATCTGGCTATTTGCTCAATGTTAACTACTTGAAGTGCTTCACAGTATTAAATGAAGTAATTGAACTCAGTTTAATTCTCTAAATCTCACACGGGCAGCAATTTGAAACGTTTTATATTCTTGTCACATTTTACTGCTGGTGTCACACTTTTACTCTATAAT